CCCCAAAACCCCAAAACCCCTTGATTCAATTTACCATTCAAAATTTAGATTAATGAAATTAAAAATTAATTCCTATTCTAAAATATCATATTTATATTTGGAATAAATTTTGGGTAAAAACTCAATCAAAAATTATAGTTACTCTCTTTAAATCTCTAGCCAGTTAATATTTTGAGGTCAAACATAATCTCCTAGATCTCTTTGCTTGCAAATTTGTCAAGGTAAATTTAAAGCTATTCAATAAGGGTAATATCAGGATTCATGGTATCAAGTCTTAACTTTATACACATGTCATTACATTTGTGCTTATTGAGCCAATTTTTCATTCCACTTTAACCCCAGTCAATTTTTCCAAGTAGTCCCTCTATATTAGAAAACACGACTGGATCTGTAAATACATATTGACCAATATTGACTTTCCACCCTTGAACATCAGTAATCATCACTAAACCGTTAGTTATCACATAAGTCCAATGGCTAAATGTATGAGGAAGCCTTACTATCCCCAAATGAGGATGTTAATTCATATTTTAATCAATATTACCTGTTGGTCTATTGAAAATATAAAAACCATTGTCTTCTTTTGTGTCTTAATATTCCTCTAGCTCATAAACATATTTATGCTCTTCATTGAATAATGGAACTGCTAAGTAAGGCTTAACGTACCTCACAAATATATCTAAGCTTTTTGATCTTCTTCTTAACAATTCATTAAATGCATCAGCAAGTTTTAGTGCAATTTACTGCTTAGCAATATCATAAGGGACTTCTTATAAATTTTCATAAGATTTAACTTTTTTTACAACCCATTTTTTAGGTTCTATACTTTTCTCTTTAATAAGCAGGAATCCATCACTTTATTATGATTCAACAAAATCTCTTTTTTAAATGGCTAAATTAACTTTATGAAAGCACCCTTCCCCTAATACAGATTTATTTATATAGAGTTCATATTCTTTGACTAGTTAAAATTCAAAAGTCTCATCTTTTATTTCATAAACCTCAAATAAACTGTAGTTATGGTTCTTCATTAGTTGGATAGAATTACAGACATTAATATCACTAGGTTATAATTTTCTGAAAAACTTCATCACAAAATCAATATATCCAAAAGCCTCACTTTTATTGTCTCTATAAGCAAATTTGATTTTTGAAATGAGAATCATTTTACTCATTTATTATAAATGACAAAAGCATTCATCACACATCAAAAATTAACATTGATTATTATATTTATATGGCAAACAGGAGTAGCAAGCTTCAAAATTGGAACTTCTGCATGTTGAGCAAAATTTAATAACTTTTCCACTATGCGTAGTCTCTAAAGTTATATTATTCATTGGTAAGCCACAAATGCAGGTTATCTTTTCTCTTGGAATTTTTATTATCGATTTTTTTATATAGTCGCTTTTTGCATGCCGACTTAATATTAGTTTTTATTTATCCTCCTCATTCTAAAGAAAAATTACTATTAATTTGTATTATTCCCAAACATAAATCATGATATAATATTGTGTTTGGTAATATAAACTTACATTTTCAATTTAGCTTTTGCATTTTGTAATCAGATTCTAGTTAAACTCAAATCATTCTGGACCAACATGAGAAAAATTCTACTCTGAGAACTCGAATTCTGATTCTGAATTAAAATCATTCATTTTCTTCTATAACAAACTGACATCTACATTTTGTGTAAATTCTTTAATGTCTTTGTATTATTATTGGCTGTAAGATGGAGGCTTGTCCTCGTTTTAATTAAGAGCTTCTTATACGTAACCATAAAAATTAGGTATAGCGAATATTTGAAAATCTTCCCCACTATCAGAAAGACCATTTTCTTACACAATAGTCTCAATCACAAGTTTGCTAGTTTTCTAATTTTTCTACATTTAATTATTGATCATTTATTTCTCAGTAAAATGCTAATATGTAATATATCTTTATAATTAATTGATCAATTTATAATTTTCTAATGTCATCAAAAATTGTCAATTACGGGGTTTTGGGGTTTTGGGGTTTTGGGG